CCCACTTGTTTCCCCTCACGGTAATTTCTGTGGATTTAACATCCGATGTGACTGATGGCTTTCCCGATGTGACTGATGGCTTTCCCGATGTGACTGATGGCTTTCTTCGGTGCGCTAATTTACTAATGGGCTTTCCAAACTTGTTCGGCTCTTATGTTGTATTGCTATTCCTTCCTCCTCTTCCTCCAACTCCTCATCTTCCTCCTCCTCTGTCTTTGTGGTGAGGCTGAACTCACAGCCCTATGCACACTTGTGTTTTTATTTTCTGGAATTTCTATAACTTCTGTTTTCCTTTTGAAATTCCCTACCTGTTCATGCATGTGCTCCATATATGTTCATTAGAACCTTTTACATATCATTTCCTGTATTTTAGACTATTTTTGTGGATTTTTTTTTTTTTTTGAGACAGAGTCTCATTGTGCAGCCTGCCTGTCCCAGAACTTATTTTGTAGTAGAGGCTGGCCTGGAACTCACAGAGATCCACCTGTCTACTTCACAAGTGCTGGGATTAAGGCCCTCATCTTCTTGCCTAGTCTGCACGCAGGTGCAGAGGACCCCTTAAAAAGATAGGCCCCTGCACCTTTATGCTCTCTCTGTCTCGCTCTCTCTCTCTCTGTGTGTGCTCTCCTGTCTCTGTTTGCCCGCTCTGTCTATGGCGCCCGGCCATGGCGGTCAGCCATTACCCTGTTCCTCTTCTTAGTCTACCCATTCTGTTGCGCCTTATAATAAACTTATAGTCAATATGTCTGTCTCAATATTTCTCTTTTCTTCTTTTTAAACAAAAGAATAACAGTGACTACCCTGTATTTTTTGCAAAGGAGACAGTTGCTGTTTGCCTCTTCTTTTGGAATATGTTATGATTTTGTTTGTTTTGGTTTTTGGCATGGTTTGGAGATCAAACCCATAGCCATGTACATGAGAGGTGAGCTGTCTACCACTGAGGTAACCCCCATCCTCCCACTTGAAAATTGTATTTGAGGGCAGGTGAGATGGCCCAGACAGCAAGATGGCTTGTTGCCGAGCCTGGTGACCTGAGTGCAATCTCCAGGTGTTTTTGGCAGAAGAAGAGCTGACTCCTGAAAGTTGTCCCGACTCCAAGCAACATGCTGTGACAAGCTCCCTCCTCCAGCTTCCTCCCAAATACAAATAAACAAACAAATAAATAAATAAATATAATTTTTTAAAAATCTGCTTTGTGCAGGGTCTCATTTATGTAATCCAGGCTAGCCTGAAACCTGAAATTGCCCTTCGTGCCTTAGCCCCCAGAGCAGCTGGAGTTACAGGCATCTGCCACAACACCAAACACATTTTCCATTCTTCCCCCAGCACTTGAATCTTGGGCATACAAGGGAGACAAGCACTCTGTCACTGAACAACAGCCCAGCCCTTGGATGTTTCAGTTTTTCATCGACTATATAGCATCTTGTGTGAATCGAAACAAACTTGAGAAAACAGTACTTTTTCCTAGAAATGAGCACATCTCTCCCCAGGTAGGCAGTGCAGGAGGCTGAGTCAACCTCATTACAAGGTGTGCTGGAATGAGATTTGTCCAGAATTTCACTGTAGCACAGTTTCCCATTACAAAGTCTTACACCGAGGGCGGTGTCGGGAATGCAGTAGGTTTCTCAACAGTCTTGCTTCATGGAGCTCAGGCCTTGCTGTATACACAGATGTACCGCACAGGAGCCTCTCTCCTGTCAGTAAGAGGCGTGCAGTTAGTATTTTGACAATTGCTGTTTTCCCTACGGTGAAGGAAGCAGAGGCAGAGGCAGAGGCCAGGAGAGGGCATTGGATTCCATGGAATTGGAGTTATCCACAGTTGAGAAGCACCGTCTGGTGCTGGAAATCCAACCGGTTTCTCTGGAAGATCAGCAAATGCTCTTAAAGGCTTAGCCATCTCTCCAGCCCCTGTCAGGTGTTTGTTATTCTCAGAGAGGGAGCAAGGCTCACATTTTTTCTGGATTCTGAGCGACAGTGGAACTTCATACTTGTTGATTTGTGTCTTATTAACAGGGAAATTCCATTCAATCAATATCGTGGAACAATATTGTTGCTATTTTCCACGCCAAGGATTAGCCCAGAGCCTCACACACAGAAAGCACACATTCTACCCACTGAGCACACACTTTTAAGTATGTACCAGTCACATCCTGCTGCCCAGCTGGCCTCGAACACATAAGCAACCCTCTTGCTCAGCCTGGCAAGTAGCTCGGACTACAGTCCTGCTGAGGCACACAATGTGTGGTTCAGAAAACAATATTTCTTTCTTTTCAAAATGCGTTTTTGTTTCATGTGTATGGATATTTTTTTAACATTTAAAATATTTATTTTATGTAGATGGGTGTTTTGCCTGCAAGTCTGTCTGTGTATCACTTGCATGCCTGGTGCCAGAGAGCAAACACAGATCCCTGGGAACTAGATTTACAGATGGTTGTGAGCTACCATGTGGATGCTGGGAATTAAACTCTGGTCCTCTGGAAGAGCAGCCAGTGCTCTTGACTGCTGAACCAGCTCTCCAGTCCTACAAAACAATATTTCTGACTTTAATTTTTTTTTTAAATGTTTGAGATTTTTTAAATGTAGCCCAGGCTGACCTTGAACTTGAAATCCTTCCCCCCTCAACCTTCCTAGTGCTGGGATTACATGTATGGCTACCATGATCGGCCTAAGAAGCATGTTAAAAATTGTTATCAAAAAGTTTATTTACTATTTATTTTTACACTTACTTGTTGTGTGTGCCCACATCTGCACATCTGCAAAAGTGTATGGGTGGAAGCTGGAGGAGAGGGTTGGGCAGTTAGCCTGCTCCCTCCACAGTGTGGGCTCTGGAGATTAAACTTGGGCTGCTAGGCTTGATGGCAAGCTCTCTTATTTGCTGAGCCATCTCCCCAGCCCAAGGAGCTTTAGTTTTTTTTCAATGGCTGCACGATACTGCTTTATGTTAAGATGACAACTTGCTTAACCAAACCAGTGTTATTGGGCACTGTATAGACTGAACGCTGTGTTTTCTAGGCATCTTAATCCAATTTGCCTCCTCTGGTAATCGTCTTTGCTTCCTTTGGGGAGTTTTCTCTTGCCAGCTCTGCAGGAGTCCAGCTGGGTTGTCAGTCCTAATACCCCATGGGGCTGGCCTTGGGGTGAACAGGAGGCACTGGTCCTGCTCAGCACAGCACCTTGGCTACAATGACTGATTCAGGGAGGAACAATTGGGTAGGGGAGCAGAGCTTTTGCCAGTTGGAGCCACAGAACTACAAGAACGTGCATTGTAGACCCAGAAGCCATCTTCTTTACGGAACGCCTGAGTGCGCAGCACAAAACAGCCTGGCCTGAGAGTGGGAACTTTGGAGAGGCGAGGCCTGTCAGCCCAAGCCCAGATCATTAATCGTCTTCAGTTGTTCTGGTTCTTTCCATTCTTTCTTCATATCTGAGGTGCCCCAGTTACTGGAAGAAGCCTTTTTTGTTTATGTTGTTTTGATATGGCTTGGTCGTTGTGCAAGAAAGCCTCCTCACTGATTTATAGCCTGAATAATCTATATTATAAAGAAGACACAGAGTGGCTGGATCTCTTACTCTCTCTCAGTAAGATTCGTTCCCAGACTAGGAGATGCAGAGGCAAAGAAGCAGAGGCAAAGGTGCATAGGTAAAGAGGCAGAGGCTAAGATGCAGAGACATGTCTTAAAGGCTTTTACTGCATGTGGCCAAATTATTCTCATCATGCATATATATATATATATATATATAAATATATATATATATATATATTATTCTTTTCTCTAGATCTACATATGTCCCTATTTCCACACAGTCACACCAATACTAAATACTAAATAGCATTGAACTTAAAAAACAAAGCAAAATAAAACTCCTATTTAGGGGTTGGCATGGAGTTAGCTTAGTTGGTAGAGTGCTTGCCTAATGTGCAGAGACCTGGGTTGGATCCCCAGCACTACACATACCAGGCATCTCAAAAGAAAACAGCAGTGCCTAATCAGAAAATTATTGCTTCCCTCTCCACTTCCCTCCCTCCTTCCTTCCCTCCTACCTCCCTTCCTCCTTCTTTCCTTCCCTCTGTCCTTCCTCACTTCCCTCCCTATTTTCTTCTTTCTTTCCTCACTCCCTTCTGTAGTTGTTTCTGTTTTGTTTTGTTTTGTTTTTTTAAGTCTCTTTTACTCCTTTGGGGGCCCGCCACCCAGCTCCCAAATAAATCATATGGAGTCTCACTCTTTCTTGTGAATGCCCAGCCTTAGCTTGACTTGTTTCTAGCCAACTTTCCTTAACTTAAATTATCCCACTTACCTTCTGACTTGGGCTTTTCCTTTTTCTATTTCTGTGTCCCTTTCTTTACTTCTTATTCCGTGGCTGGCTGTGTAGCTGTCTCCTTGCATCCTCCTCTCCCTCTTTTCCCCTTCTTTGATCTTCTCTCCCCAGAATTCTTCTATTTTTTCTCTCGCCTGCCACCCCCAACCCGCCTATCCTTTCCCCTGCCTTGCTATTGGCCGTTCAGCTCTTTGTTAGACCATCAGGTGTTTTAGACAAAGTAACACAGCTTTACAGAGTTAAACAAACATAAGAAGAATGTAACACATCTTTGCATCATTAAACAAATGTTCCACAGCATAAAGGGATGTAACACATCTTTAGTATTCCACAACACCCTTTATCTCTTTCTTTCCTTTTTGAGACTGGGTCTCATGTAGTCTGAGCTGGCTTTAGACTCACAACTCACCCAAGACCACCCTTAAGTCTCTGATCCTCCTGCCTGCCCCTCGGAGTGCTGGGTTTTCTGGCACTACCCAATACACAGGGCCATGTTGGCTGTCCTGCACTGATCCTCCAGGGCTCCATGTCCCACAGTGTACTTAGCAGAGGAGATCAAAGGAGAGCCTGAGTTGGGAATGAACCCAGAAATTAAAGGAGGAGTCCAGGATGTGTTCTACAGCTTTACTTCCAGGAATACTCAGCCTCTCCCAAAACTAGTGTTAAGGACTGGCTGGACCAGTATGAATGTTCTAGAAAGAGTCAAGAAAGGGAGCAGTGGCCCGACCCTGCTCAACCTCCTCAGCTTAAGGCATGGTAGCTGATTGGCCAGGGTCCAGTCTTGCTGCACACCCCACCTGGGTGTTTAGGATTTAAGCAGGAGAACATCGAGAGCAGAACTCCTGGTTCCTGCTCCTGGGCACTCTGGCTTACTCACAGAGATGCAGGCTCCACTCCTCCTGGGAATGCTGGCCCTAGTGTCAGTGGCAGCAGGCCTCTGTCCGTGAGTTAAGGGTGTTAGAGTTGATTGGGGGCCAATGGCTTTTTTTTTTTTTTTTTCCCTTTTGGCCTGTCTTTCCCAAGCATAAACATGGACAAGCAAAGACACGCCCATGGTTTCCTTCGCTTTTTGTCTCCTCTTTTTCCTTCATTCCTTTCCTGGAATGAAAAGCTGAAACACTAAACTTGATCTTAACAACAGCAATAAGATAACTATTAAAATGTGAAAATGTGTAGGCTCTTTGTATCCTGTTCTCTGTAACAGGCCTAATTTTGTCCTTGATACTCCAGCCAGGCTTGGGCTCTCAGTGGTGGTCGCTGGGGAAGCCGGGAGGCTTAGAGCAGGGCGCTGAGACCTGTGCTTTCTCCTTTATAATGTGTGTGTGTGTGTGTGTGTGTGTGTGTGTGTGTGTGTGTGTGTGTGTGTGTTCATAAAGGCAGGGGCTTGATCTGCTTGGCTTACTGCTGGTTGCTTCTAAGGGAAGGGATTAGCTTTTCACCGAAGGATGAATCATCGTCTCTCTGAAATTCTTTTTCTCCCTTAGTGGAAAGTACTTGGTGACAATACCAGCCCAGCTTGCCTTCCCCTCCACACAGAAGGTTTGCTTGGATCTGAGCCCTGGGAACTACGATGTAAAATTCACTATTACCCTGGAGACCAAGGATAAGACACAGAAGTTGCTAGAACACTCTGGATTGAACAAGAAGAACTTCCACTGTATCTCATTTTCAGTAAGTGCTGACCAGGCCTAAAAGCTAATCCCTCAATTTCCTGGTCTCCTCCCAGGCTGCTCACCATAGTCCAACTTCAAGTATGGTTTCTGCTATGGTACTTTGACTGGGTTTGTCTGGGCTCTGCTAAACTTCAGCTCCAGGTGTGAGCTTACCCACAATTCCCTTTCCCTCGAGTCTCTTTCAGTTCATCTCTAGTCCCTGGTAACACTGCTTCTTCAGGGTGTTCTTAGGACTTCTCCTTTTGACTTAGTTCTCTCCATCTGTTCTCCCACTGCTGGGCTGAGACCGTTGGTTGATTATGTCCCCCGATACCCTACTCCTCCCCAGAGTTCTGCTCTCCTGCCCAGGTCCCCCCACCAGCTGGTGGCATGGAAGAAGTGGCTACAATTCGAGTGTCAGGAGTTGGAAAGAAGCTCAGGTTTGAAGAGGAGAAAAAGGTTCTAATTCAGAGGCAAGGGAGCGGCACGTTTGTGCAGACTGACAAACCTGTCTACACCCCAGGCCAGAAAGGTAAGGCATGCATGTCTAGGGACAGACAAGGCCAGGGGACCGGCTCTGCATCATGATAGAGATTTGTGAATTGGATAGCGGGCTTAGAGAACAAGTAGGGAGAGGTCAGGGAAGTGTGGCGATGAAGCGTTCTGGCCTGATTGTGAGTCTCACTCTAGCAAGAGTGGGAATGGAGTTACTGATGCTTCTGGGTGTCTAAAACAAAGCTTCACTATGTCCCAGTGGGTGGTGTGTCACAAGTAATTGGGTTAATGGTTCTTGTGGGTAAGAAAGTAGCCAGTGTCTGGCTTGAACCTCTTTTCTTCTGCTCATTTTCATTGTGAGTCATTCTACTCTGAGGCCTCACACTCAGGAGCCCCGGAGAGAAGCTAAGAAACTGTGTGATCTTCACCTGTGTCTCGCATTGGAAAACAAAACATCCTGCTGTCTCCTCAAGCTAATGGGGTTTTCCTGACTCAGAAATAAAACAGGTGGAGGAGCGATTCTGGGAGGGGAACTCTCTTCCCTAATTATGCCCATTTCTTCCTAGTGCTTTTCAGAATTGTCACCATGAACAGCGACTTCATCCCAGTGAATGACAAGGTAAGAATTTAGCCGGAGGAGGGAAAGGTTCCCAGTCTCTGAGAATGAAGAAGAGAAAGTGATGCAGAGCTGTGGGCTGTAGAACACATTCAGGAAGTAATCCTAGCCTCGGGCACTAGCCCGCAGACGCCCAGCCCTGTCTGTGTGGGAAACTGCAAAGGTGACTGGTTTTCAGCCTCATGCCCACAATTCTGTTAGCATAACTTAATTCCTGAGGGATGGCTGCATTTGCTTAAAAAGACTCTTCATAGTTGGGGGGTGGTGGTGGTGGTGCAAGCCTTTAATCCCAGCACTCAGGAGGCAGAGGCAGGCAGTCTACAGAGTTATAGGACAGCCAGGCCTACACAGAGAAACAAACAGACTTTTCAGGTTGGAGAGGTGACTCAGTGGTTAAGAGATATTGTTGCTGTTCTAGAGGACTCAGGTTCAATTCCCAGCACCCATTTGGCAGCTCACAACCATCTGTGACTTCAGGCCCAGGGATTTTGACATACTTCTGATCTCAGCAGGCACTGCACACATGAGGTGTGCACACATGTGTTGTGTATGCATACATGAAGGCAAAGTGTTCATACACGTAAGACAAATCCAAAGGAGAAAAACTGAAAGACTTTATCTTCAGGGATGATACCAAATGCCTTTGCAGTTCAAATATTAAGACATTGGGGCTGTCCATGTAGCTCAGTGGTTGGACTTTTAGGTTCTGTCTCCAGCATGTACACACACACACACACACACACACACACACACACACACACACACACACAAGAGAGAGAGAGAGAGAGAGAGAGAGAGAGAGAGAGAGAGAGAGAGAGAGAGAGAGAGAGAGAAATAAATCAGGAGTATACTTAATAAAAAGAAAAAAATAAGAATATCCACTTTTGCTATTTTTTAAAAAAATTAAGAGGCAATGCCAGGCATGGTGGCTCACGCCTTTAATATCAGCACTCAGGAGGCAGAGGCAAGCAGATCTCTGAGTTTGAAGCCAGCCTGGTCTACAGAGTGAGCTCCAGGACAGCCAGGGCTACACAGAGATACCGTGTTCTGAAAAACAAAACAAGGGGCTGGAGAGATAGCTCAGAGGTTAAGAGCACTGGCTGCTCTTCCAGAGGACCTGAGTTCAATTCCCAGTACCCACATGGTGGCTCACAACCATCTGTAATAAGATCTGGTGACCTCTTCTGGTGTGTAGGTGTATATGCAGACAGAACACTGAATACATAAGAAATAAATAAATCTTAAAAAAAAGAAAAGAAAAACAAAACAAAACCACCAAAAAAAATTTAAGAGGCAAGATAATAAATAAACTTATAAAATAGTCTGTTTTCTTCTGGCATCACTGAAAGTGGAAAATTGAAAGTGTGATAACACTTAGTAAATATACTCCAATATTCCTCCAATCAATCCTTGGCATCGTGTCTTTTCATAAGTCTTTATTTTTCCTGTTGTGGGATATGGAACCCAGGGTCTGACCAATGTTAGGCAAGCACTCCCCCACAGAACCACTCTCTGATCATAAGTTTTTATAACAGAGTTGATCTTGTTCAGGGTACGCTGGTTTTTTTTTGTTGTTTGTTTGTTTTTGTTTTTTTTTAATGAGCTTTGGTATTTACCCCTTGATGCCTCATTGCAGTCTTCCTGTATGTTCAAGTGGAACTTAAATACAGGAAGGGTATTTTTTCTGTTTTCTGTCTCCATGGCTTCAGCGGTTCCTTTTACTGTGTGCTTGTTACAGGCTGGCAGCTGTAACCACATTCTTTCCCAATAGCCTTTCAGTTTCTCTTTCCAATCACCAGTAACCCTTCTATAGTTTGGTACACTGTTGGGTATTGATTTCAAAACTACTATATCAACCAGTGCTTAGACTCTACTGCCCCCTGGAGGTTGATCTCATTAGCTACCCCTGTTACACTGTCTTTCTTCTGCCGGGATTGCTGAAAAGGTTGTGGGTTTTGTATTATAAGGCTTGATTTCTCTTCTAAAAGACTCCTCCCTCCCTATTCCATTTACATAGGTCCTTCCTTCTAGGTTGAGAACTGACATTAACTAAAGGGCTTTTACCAAGAAGCTCTGGGACAGAATGACACATTTAAAGAACATAGTGATTTTACACTTGGGAGGTAGAGAGGAGAGGGCTACAGAGTGAGTTGAAGGCCAGCCTGAGCTACATGAGATGACATCTCACTCCTCCACCCTCAAATAAATAAAGGACACAATATTTTATACCCAGACCACTAAAGCACAGCGGAAGTGGGCCAGCGAGATGGCTCAGGGAGTAAAGGGTGCTTGCTGCCAGTCTGATTGATGAACCGAGCTCCAGCCCTTGGGTGCACACGGTGGAAGGAGAGAGCCAACTTCTAGAAGCTGTCCTCTGAAATTCTCTCTCTCTCTCTCTCTCTCTCTCTCTGTGTGTGTGTGTGTGTGTGTGTGTGTGTGTATGTGTGTGTGTGTAAATATAATAAAACATGACCAAGGCAAACTGATGATTGCTCCTCTGGCTAACTGGCCTCCTCCCTGACTCTTGACCCCTATGTTAAGAAAGTACTTTTTAGCCGGGCGTTGGTGGCGCACACCTTTAATCCCAGCACTCGGGAGGCAGAGGCAGGGGGATCTCTGTGAGTTCGAGACCAGCCTGGGTTACAAGAGCTAGTTCCAGGACAACCTCCAAAGCCACAGGGAAACCCTGTCTCGAAAAACCATAAATAAATAAATAAATAAATAAATAAATAAATAAAATTTGACCATGAGTGAAAGTGAGGTCACTGCTATCCACAGGCCTTGGGTGTCAAAAGAAGGTGCTGGGAAATGACTTGCTCCCAAGAGGAGGCTACAGCATGGGAGTCCAGGGTGTTAACATTTCCCTTCAGGGACTGGAGCTGCAGTCCTTCAGACTTTAGGACTGGTGATCCTCTGAGAAAATCTCTTTCTTTCTCTACTGGCTGAGTCTTTGACCCCACTGTTACCCTTCTCAGGGCACAAAATAGCCAGGTAGAAGACGGGTAGAAGCCAGAGGGGAAGGAGGAGTCCTCTGTCCGGGGTGCTTTTAGCCAGCCTGCTAACCTGTGCTCTCTGGTTCCCTTTTCAGTACTCCATGGTGGAGCTGCAGGTAAGCAGAATGCCTCTTCTCCTGGGATCTGGGAAAACAAGGTGAAGGCAGAAACTATCCAACCTTGGCCCAGGGTTTCCAGACCATGCCCCAGCACCAGGAAGCCATAGGTCCACCCATATTCTTTCCATTGCCTTATGTCCCCTGGCCTGTGCACTGAGACCTAAATCTCTGCCTATAAGGACACCGGGGCTCTGACTCCTCTCTATGTAATGTTCACTTGGCCAAAATGTTGTTTGTCTTGGTTTGTCTCAGGTCACAGCACCTTTCAGACAGAAACTCAGCAACGGAATACACAAATACTTTGAGAAATGTCCCAAAGTTCGAGGCCAATGTAAAAATATTGTATTTTTAGACAAAATTACCCATGTTTTAGGCTGCTTCCAATTAGTTAGTTCCCCCAGCCTTGTTTCTTAAGAAAGACTAAACAGGAGCAAGCACTCCTGATGAGTAGGACTTGAAAGTTTGTGTGTTTTCTGAAGCCAGCGATAGCACCTATACAAACTCAAAGAGAAAAGGGTTTCTCTTGAATGAGGCTGGATTTACAAGTCATAAATCACATAGACAGCTACTTTTTTTTTGGTAAATAATCTGTATTTTTTTGATTCCCTGGGATGGGAGTTAAAGATAGCTGTGAGCCACCATGTGAGTGCTGGGAATTGAACCCAGGTCCTTTGGGAGAACAATCAGTGATCTTAACTGATGATCCAGCTCTCCAAACCCTGCCTCTTTTTCTTGGATGAAGCCTGATGAGCACTGGGTAGGATTTGTTCTGCTTTTTTGCCATGCAGAGAGAGTTGCAAGCCACATCATGCAACTTCTCTTTATTTGGACACAGGACCCAAATACCAACAGGATTGCACAGTGGTTGGACGTGGCACCTCGGCAAGGCATCGTAGACTTATCCTTTCAACTGGCACCAGAGGCAACGCTGGGCACCTATACAGTGACAGTGGCTGAGGGCAAGACCTTCAGCACGTTCAGTGTGGAGGAGTATGGTAGGTGGGGAACAAAGACGGCAAGGCACTGGGCACAGTCTTGATTCAAAATCAGCAAAGGCAATGTCAAGGGGGAAGGGATTGTTTGTTCATGTTTTTAATCCGTGCTGAGTCTAACTTCAAGACCATTTACTTAAACAGCATGCCATTAATTAGCTAGTTAATTAAATGATTGCTATTGCCATACTCCTTTATCACTTACTAGCTATGCCGGGACCACGAGTGTTTCTTTCTACTCTCCCCAGTGTTGCCTAGGTTCAAGGTAGATGTGTTGGAACCAAAGCAGTTATCAACTAGGGAGGAATTCTTCTCTGTAAAAATCTGTGGCAAGTAAGTTCTGCAGCTGTGGAGATGAAGCAGGGGGGGTGAGAAACGGGGGGGGGGGGGGTTATGTAGGTGAGAGGGTGTGGGAGGAGGGAGGAGGGGTTATGGGTGAGGGTGTGGGAGGAGGGGTTATAGGTGAGGGTGTGGGAGGAGGGGTCATGGGTGAGGGGTGAGAGAGGAGGCGTTATGTAGGTGATTTGATGCGGCTTTGGAGTCATCCAGGAAGTTTTATAACCACCCATGTGATCTCACTTTCCGTTATTAATTTAGACAAGATTATGGATTTAATTCCTACTCTGCACTGCGTCCAACCCTGAAGCCCCTGGGGAAATAAAAGGAGCTCTGGGTCTGGTAGCGAAGGCCTGTGTTCCCCATTGCCCGGGAAGCAGAGGCAGAAGGATTGAAAGTTCAAAGTCGGCCAGGGCTGCAGAGAAATTTCAAAGCTGTTCCAGGCTCACCATAAAGAAACACGGAAGAGCTGGGGGTGCGGCTCAGTGGTGGTTCAGGGCTTGCATAGCATTTGCAAAGCTCTGGGTTGAATCCTCATTACCGAAAAAGAGAGGGTGTGTCCATGTGCTTGAGTGTAATGGAAACACTCAGGGTCTGAGTAAAGATGGGAAGGAAGGAGCTGGAACATGGCAGGACTGTCCGAGCACCTGAGACAGAGCACCTGAGACAGAGCACCTGAGACAGGGGTGTGGGAAAGAACACTGTTGTGTGTGTGTGTGTGTGTGTGTGTGTGTGTGTGTGTGTGTATCTCAGGGAGTTTCAAATTGTCTCCTTGTGGGTTTTTGTTTGTTTGTTTTAAATCAGGTACACATATGGAAAGCCTGTTCAAGGGGCAGTTAAGGCCTCCGTGTGTCAGAAGGCATACTCTTACTGGTACGGAGAATCAGACCAGGAACAGCCAACTGATAAATGCAGAAACCTCTCAGGACAGGTGAGCAAATGCACTGAAGAGAAAGCCTATCCAGTATCTTTCACAGCATCAGTAAACACCAGCATAAAAAAGTACAGAGTGAAAGCTTTGTTGTTGTTGTTGGTGGTGGTGAAGGTGGTGAAGGTGGTGGAGGTGGTGGTGATGCTGATTGCTGGTGGTGGTGATGCTGATTGCTGGTGGTGGTGATGCTTGGTGATGCTGATTGCTTTGCTGGTGGTGGTGATGCTGATTGCTGGTGGTGGTGATGCTGATTGCTGGTGGTGGTGATGCTGATTGCTGGTGGTGGTGATGCTGATTGCTGGTGGTGGTGTTTTTGCCCAGATTCAAGTCGAGCAGCAGCACTTCTCACCAGAATGCAGCTCCTCAGTCTGCGCTGGAGCCAGGAAGTTAGCCTTGGCCCCGAGGATTTCCAGTTTCCCTTCCTCTTCTTGTAGCTCGGAGTTGCAAGGATGTTGTGTGACAGTCTGTGTACTGTGTATATTCTCTGTGTAGCCCTGGTGTCCTGGAGCTTACTTTGTAGACCAGGCTGGCCTCGAACTCAGAGATCTACAATGGTGTATTCTCATGTTGCAGCAGAGTTTTCTCTCTTGAAGAAACCGAGGCACAGAGACTTGCAACAAAGGGCTTCCATGGCACTCTGTAAAGTGGAAGGGGGTTAGAGTGCTTCTCTCTCTGATTGCCTCCACAGACTGACGCAGCAGGGTGCTTCTCCGGCTCTGTGGACATGTCTACCTTCAATCTCACAGGGTATATGTACAGCCACAGCATTAACATCGTGGCTTCCGTGGTGGAGGAAGGGACAGGTAAGAGAGGTGCTGCTTGACTCACGAAGAAATCAGAGGGGGCAGGGAGGTGGCTCAGTGGATAAAGGAGCCTGCTGCTAAGCCCGATGACCTGAGTTCAATCCCTGGGGCCCACACGGTGGAAGGAGAGAATGAACTCCCATATCCTGTGGCACACATACAACATGACACAAACCCACACAAATTACGTAAGTAAATAAGATGTGAGCTGCCAATAAATAAAATGTAACAGCTACAAAAAGAAGAATGAGAAGGAGGAGGAGAAGAAAAAGGGGGTACCCTGCTCGTAGTCCTTAATCCAGGGAAATCCCAGCAATTCCTGTCATCTATTACCTATCTCCCCCATCTCCCCCAAAGTTTGGGGAGACAGAGTTGATTTGTTTGTTTTTTTAATATTTTTTATTTAAATTAGAAACAAGATTGTTTTACATGTCAATCCCAGTTCCCTCTCCCTCCCCTCCTCCCCTACCCCTCACTAACACCCTACTTATCCAATACTATTTCTGTTCCCCAGGGAGGGTGAGGCCCTTCCATGGAGGGGTCTTCAGAGTCTTTCATACCTTTGGGATAGGGCCTAGGCCCTCCCCCACAGTCTAGGCTGAGGGAGTATCCCTCTATGTGAAATGGGATCCCAAAGTCCATTCCTTCGCTAGGGATAAGTACTGGTCTACTACAAGAGGCCCCATAGACTTCCGAGGTCTCCTCACTGACACCCACATTTATGGGGTCTGGATCAGTTCCATGCTGGTTTCCCAGTGATCAGACTGGGGACCAAGAACTCCCCCTTATTTAGGTCAGCTGTTTCTGTGGCTTTCACCAGCCTGGTCTTGACCTCTTTGCTCATCACTCCTCCTTCTCTGCAACTGGATTCCAGTTCAGTTCAGTTTTTAGCTGTGGGTATCTGCTTCTACTTCTATCAGCTGCTGGATTGAAGGCTCTAGGATGGTATATAAGTTAGTTGTCAATCTCGTTATTGGGGGAGAGCATTTAAGGTAGCCTCTCCACTGTTGCTTAGACGCTTAGTTGGTATCATCGTGGTAGATCTCTGGATTTGTTTTGACATTTGATCAGCTTCATATTTGACATTTGATCAGCTTCCCATGATACCATCCTCTCTGGAATTTTATGTTCAACACGAAGATGAGGCTACCAGGATTCAGGACATGACACATCTGTTTCCTTCTGCAGGACTGGAGGCCAATACCACCCGGGACATCTACATTTCCTCAAAGATGGGATCCATGACCTTTGAAGACACTAATAATTTTTATTACCCCAGTTTTCCCTTCAGTGGGAAGGTATGCTAATTTGTCTTTGCATAGACCCAAACAAGCCAACCAACCAAGCAACAAGCATCAGACACATCAAACTGAAGGAGCCATCCCCACCTCCTTCCTGCTGTCCCAAGTGCTTTGGGTCCCTTTGCGTATTTAATGTTTACAATACTCCTAAGAGGTTGAAACTGTCATTTGGCCCCATTTTACAGATGACAAAACTGAGGCAAGAGAAGGTAAGTGATTTTCCAGAGGTTTCTCACTGCTCCGTTACTATGATTAATCCATCTGCAATGAGCATCTTAACTCCTTTTTTGGTGCCTTCAACATCAGAGTGAAATTTTAGGCCCTTCCTAAGACCAGAGGTGGTGTTGCCATCCACTTCCTCTTCCTAAGGAATGTGTTGGGTCCCCTGGACCTGGGGTTATATGGTTTTGAGCTACAATGTGGGTACTGGGACCTGCACCTGGGTCCTCTGGAAGAGCAGCCAGTACTCTTAACTGCTGAGCCATCTCTACAAACCCCAGAGTCTCCTCTCCTAGTGTCCAGATCTTTGAAGTTAGGAGTTGCAGTATATCTGGGGAAGTCATTTAGGTGGGCTCCTGTGTCTGGGAAGTATTAACACTGCACTTCTCAACAGAGAGCCGTTTTCAGAGCTTTAATCTTTTTCCTTAGAGATTTCTGATTTCATTTGTCTGACTGAATTTCTACTCTCTTGGGAGGCCTCTTCCTCTTCCTCCTCCTCCTTTTCCTCCTCCTCTTTCTTCTCTTTCTCTTATCTTCCTCCTCTCCCTCTCATTTCCCCCTTTTTTGTTCTTCTTGTTTTTTTTTTTTTGTTTATTTGTTTTTGTTATTTTGAGAGTCTGGATGCTTAGCCCAAGTTGGTCTTGAACTCTGAGTCCTCCTGCCTCAGCCTCCTAAATTCTGGGGTTACAGCCCACCACACCCAACTGCTTACCTTTTTCCTCCAGAGACAGGGTTTCTCTGTGTAACAGCCGTGGCTGTCCTGGAACTTATTTGTAGACCAGGCTGGCCTGGAACTCACAAAGATACGCCTGCCTCTGCCTCCCAGTGCTGGGATTAAAGGCTATGCCACCACCACCTGGGTATCTTTTATTTTTTCTTCACGAAATGACTAACACAATTTTGTGCACCTTTAAACTCACTTTTTCCTTAGTCATCTTATCCACACCAAGGATGGAGCCAGTTGTCTTTAGACCTTAAAGATTACATAACTGGGGAGGTAAAGAAGTCTGTCTTTAAGAAAAAGAAAGAGAGCTGAGGCAGGAGAACCTCAAGTTTGAGGGCAGCTGGACTACATAAGCAGAACCTATAGAAATAAATAAATAAATAAACAAGCATTCACTCAAAATGATGCACAGAGCCTCAGAAGGGGCCTGTGCCAGTGAAAGGCTAAAAAGTTGCATGGCTACACAACCAAGTTCTACGCCAGGCTGTTACTTCTGTGTTTCTAGGCCTGGGTACATAGCCCAGCTGTCAGATATTTGCCTACCATGCACAAACCCAGCTGTGGCTTGAGCCCCAGAATCCCATTAACTAGATGTGCTAGTGCTTGCTTAATCTCAGCTCTTGGGAAGTAGAGGAAGGAGGAACAGAAGTTCAGTGTTATTCTTGGCTACACAATGAATTGAAGGCCAGTCCCCGATACATAAGGTCTCCTCTCAAAACCAAAACAAACCAACAACTTCTGTGTGTTTCCCAAAGCTTGAGTTGAATCTGTCTTTTCCTAGGCTTCTTCCTGAAACGTGTTCTTGGAATTTCTGTTGCCCCTTAACTTGGCCTCCTACCTAGGCCTCCTCCTAACCTGATGTTAAAACCTCATTAACTTTCACCCCTCAGATAAGAGTTAGAGGCCATGACGACTCCCTCCTGAAGAATCATCCGGTATTCCTGGTGATTTACGGCAAAAATGGAACCACCAACCAGACGCTAACTACCGACAATGATGGCCTTGCTCCCTTCACACTGGATACAGTCTCCTGGAATGCAACAGATATTTCTCTGGAGGTGAGCCCTGGGGAGGCAGCATCCCAGGTGAGAAACCTCCCCGGAGGAAAGGTTCAACTTCTCTTTGTAGTTCTCCCGAGGCATGTAGCTCCCACACTGTCATTTGTTCGGCCCACAAAAGGTTCTTAGATTCTTTTTGTTTTAGTATTAACATGAAAGCCCTCATACCCAAATTGCTACACTGCTCTTATAGTTCGTCCCCATTTCTGACTGATGATGGGCCTGAAACCCAGTAGGAAGGGAAGTGGTTCTGAGTGAGGCCTTCTTCTTCTCTTTCCCTCTGAACTTGTGAAAATGACTCTTTGAGGTCAGTTTTCCACCATCATGACAAAACATCTAAAGTAACCAACTTAAAGAGAGAAAATCTTTAATGTGGTTCATGGTTTCAGTTTTTAGTCCGTGGTTATGTGGCCCTGTTGCTCTGGGTCTGTGGTGGCACAGTACCTCATGGCAGGGGTGGGTGACAGGAGGCAAGTGTTTAAATTCATGATAGCCAGAAAGTGGGGGTGGGGTGGGGTGGGTCGGGGGCAACGCCAGGGCCTAACGTCCCTTCCAGGGCACACTCTATTGGGTTCTATTTCCTAAAGGTTATTCCATCTTTCAATAGTGCCACAGGCTGGGAACTAAGCCTTCAACATCCGGCCTTTGGGGGACATTCACGATCCAAGCATCAGGAGACCTGTGGGTTCTAGATGATGTGTAGAGAAGGTTGGTTATATCAGGGATTAGCTGGACAGCTGAGCAGTGAATGCATGAAGCAGTCACACATTGCCTCCATAGAATGGAGAGTGCTCACTGCCCACCCATCCACAGCGGTCAGCTGGGCAGCTGTTCTTGGTAGACTCTTGTGTATGCCTGTGGGCCGACTGGCTGCAAGCTGGGGTTCCACATCTCTCTCAAATCCCAACCTGTTTGTCCACGTGTGTACTTACAGCAGTGATGGGGTGCAAGGCCCAGAGCTCACTCACCAGGGCTTTTCCAAGTCAATGGTTAGGGTATGCCAACATTCTGCTGCCATCAGTGAGTTCTGTGGCAGGCACATAGGATAGAACACAATTACTTGGTGAACAATATTGGTACAGGAATATGATAAACTGGAGCCATTGTGGCAGTCACTCAGCAGTACCATTAAGCAAGCACATAAATTTGTCTTGTAGTTAATTTAACTAGATATTTGTTCTAGGCTTCAGTCAATTATCCCATTCAGAAATAACTATTTTCAACCTCCTCATCCTCTATACCTAGTTTTCTTATCCCTGAAATATAAATTTGGTCCTGCTTATCTACCCAACGGGTACCAGTCTTCAGAAGGCATATCACTCCCAATTGGCCATTACCTGTCTTCTACATCACAGTGTTCCTGCACACACAAATGTCATTTGTCATTCTCAGGAAATGAAAATTGGAGAGAAAGAGAGGAACACACATCTTTCTTTCTTTCTTTCTTTCTTTCTTTCTTTCTTTCTTTCTTCCTTCCTTCCTTCCTTCCTTCCTTCCTTCCTCCTCTTCCTCCTCCTCTCCTCTCCTCTCATCTCTTCTCTTTCCTCCAGGGCAAGTTCCAGCTGGAAGATTTGGTATATAATCCAGAGGAAGTGCCTCATTACTACCAAAATGCCTATCTGTACCTTCGTCCCTTCTACAACACCACCAGAAGCTTCCTGGGCATCCGGCGGCCGAGTGGCCTGGTGAGGTGTGGCCAGACCCAGGAAGTTCTAGTGGACTATTCCATTGATCCAAAGGATGCAAGCCCAGACCAAGAAGTCATCTTCTCCTACTATGTGAGTTACTATGAAGTGGGGGCTTGTGAAAGGGTATTGAGAGTCAGCCAGAGAGGAGAGATAGATGCCTGGATGGAGATGAGATACAGGACATGTGTATAACTTTAGAGACACACTTAAAAAGTTAAGACATCCAAAAGCTGGGTATGGTGGTACATACTTAGACTCCCAGCACTCGGGAGGCAGAGGCAGGAAGTCAGAAGTTCAAGGCCAGCCTGGGCTACATGAAATCCCATCTCAACAAGCAACCAACAAAACCCGGACAGGTGTGTGGTCTCCATGCCTGTAATCTCAGCATCAAGAAGGTGGAGGCAGACGACTTGCTAGCAAGTTCAAGGTTAGCTTGAGCTCTACAGCAAGACCCAGTCTTAAAAAGCCAAAAGGATAAGAGATACTTACAGTCTTTTTCTCAACTAAGTCTCTGAAGCAGCACACATTTAATCCTTACAGCGTGCCTGCCTCGGTTGTGATTCACAACGCACGTGTGTGTGTGTGTGTGTGTGTGTGTGTGTGTGTGTGTGGTATAGTGACAGAGATTAGAGGGCAACTCTGTGGAATTGGTTCTCTCCTTCTACCTTTCTGTGAGTTCTGGGACTTGAACAAAGACACCAGGCTTCACAGGCTTCTATACTCACTGAGCTATCCATCCTGCAAGCCCTGGACTATTTCTTTCCTTTCCTTTCCTTTCCTTTCCTTTCCTTTCCTTTCCTTTCCTTTCCTTTCCTTTCCTTTCCTTTCCTTTCTTTTCATTTCCTCTTTCTTTTCCTCTTTCTTTTCCTTTCCTCTTTCTTTCTTTCTTTCTTTCTTTCTTTCTTTCTTTCTTTCTTTCTTTCTTCCTGAGATAGTTTCTCTGTGTAGCACTGGCTGTCCTGGAACTAGATCTATAGACCAGGCTGGCCTTGAACTCAGAGATTCACCTGCCTCTGATTCCCAGGTGCTGGGTTTGAAGGCATGCGCCACACTGCCCAGATTCTGGACTATATTCACAGCAATGTTATAAAGTGAAAATTGATATCAACAGCAGGTTCAGCTGGAGAGAAAGCCATGTACAAACATAAGCAAGTTACTGGCCATTCATGGCGACAGAAGGAACTAGATTCAAATAAGCCTTAGGAGGCATGACCCAGACAATCTTCTTGTTCCCTTCTGCTCTCAGTTTCTGAGACTTTCTCTCCTCTGACTCATTCTGATTACTTCTGTCATTTCACTGTTTCCAGCAAGCAATAAACAACCATCTTGACCCAGCAGAATGGGGAGGGTGTGCAGAAAGTAAGTCACAGGGGGAATACAGACAGGGTCCTCAGGACAGGGGTGGGAGGCGAGGCTAGGGAGCTGGGCCTGAGGAGCTCTGAGAATCAGGTGGGGGGCTGAGAACTGGCAGTGAGCACTGGGTGGGAGCAGGATGGCCAGGGGGTTCTAGTTCAAGTGAGAGCACGCAGAACGCTTGGGAAGTAGCGTTCTCCTCCCCTCCAGACACCAGATCAGCTCTGGACAGTGTTAAGATTCATTTCCACCCAATCGGATTGTAATAAAAGAACGATTGTGAGGATGGGTTTTTAGCTGCCTTTATGGTACAAGAATCATACAACAATAAAACTCGGAGATCCTAAAGAAGTCCTGGACTTCTACCATCCACCCATTCTGGCTCTCAGACAAGCCTCCTCTTGGAGATGAGCCATCAGGACCTGATAAGCGGAGAGCTGCTAGGTGAGGGACTTTGCAGGCTCTGGATATGTGCGAAGAGCAGGAGTTCATGGTGGGGACACAGACATGGCAGGGACACAGACATGGTGGGGACACAGACATGCTCGGCAGGTAGGGCCCAGAGGAAAGAAACTGCTGAGTCTTTGGTTTTTCTTCCTCTTTGATAGGTAACAGGGAAAGGGAGTTTGCAGACAGAGGGGCAGAAACGCCTGAAGGTTAAAGAGAAAGG